TGTTTAAGACAATGTGGATTTTGCAATGAGATTTACACGTAATTAACTCATGAGTAGTTTCTTTTGTGTTCCATTCTACGTCTTCTTTGTGGGTTCCTGGAAATCCTGGAAATCCCTGAAGAACCGGAGCTGAAGGTACAGGGTCCACGTTTGCCCAATCCCAGGCTGGAACAATCGGTTTCAGTCCCCGCCTCTCGGAATGTGGTTTGGAGGTGGAGGAGGGAGGGGAGCCGGCAGAGCAATGCAATTTCCTTCTCCAAGGGAAAAGGAGCCGCGGGGTGCTACTCTTTTTGGTCACTCTTTTTCGGCTTTTGTCTCCAGCCTGGGCAACAGGGTCTCGCTCTGTTGCCCGGGCTGGAGGGCTGTGGTGCAATCGCAGCACACCACAGCCTCAACCTCCTGGGCTCCGGCCATCCTCTCACCTCAGCCTCCCCAGTAGCTAGGACCACAGGTGTGCGCCACCACACTTGGCTAATTTTCTTGGTCACTCCTACCTGCATCCCTGCTGCCTTAGAGGGGCTACCTCTCCTTGCTTTTCTCTTGCTTTGCCTTACTGCCTCAGTTTCTCCCAGCCCCGATCCTTCATACCCAGGCCTTCCAACCACCACAGATGATGTAGACTTATTTTGTTTTAAACACTGGGGGTTGAATAATAATGGTGGACTCTTGCCTGGAGGGGAGGTTTCTCTCTAGTGGAGGGAGCTTCTCTCTGTTCTCCCAGCTCCAGGATGCCTTTCTACTGGTCCTATGCTGCTCTCAGATTAACTGGGCAGCCCCTGGTTGGGATATGAGTTAGGAATCCCCAATTTATTGGAAAGGTGTTGATTGGTTGACACAAATTCTTGGCCGGGTTCAGTGGCTCATGCCTGTAATCCCAGCACTTTGGGAGGCTGAGGTGGGTGGATCACTTGAGGCCAGGGGTTTAAGACCAGTTTGGCCAACACGGCAAAACCCTCTCTCTATTAAAAATACAAAAATTTGCACGCGTGCTGGCAGGCACTTGTAATACCAGCTACACAGGAGGCTGAGGCAGGAGAATTGCTTGAACCCAGGAGGTGGGGGTTGTGGTGAGCTGAGATCATGCCACTGCACTCCAGCCTGGGCAACAGAGAGAGACTCTATCTCAAAAAAAAAAAAAAGAAAAAATCAGTTCACTTGGCAATTGCATTCTTATATTTTTTCTGTTTTAATAATTTTGTTTTATGTGAGTTATAGTAATATGAATCCATCTAGGAAGAAGTTCTGGGCTGGGTGTGGTGGCTCATGCCTGTAATCCCAACACTCTGGAAGGCTGTTGCAGGAGGATCACTTGAGGCCAGGAGTTCAAACCAGCCTGGGCAACATAGCGAAACCCCATATCTTTAAGAAGAAGAAGAAGAAGGGAAGAAGGAGAAGAAGAAGAGGAAGAAGAAAGAAGAAAGAAGAAGAAGGAGGAGGAGAAGAAGAGGAAAAGTTTCTGAATGTACATTGACCAGACCTTGGGACCTTTGAGTTCTCACCGAGACACTCTACGTGAGACCCAGCCTGTAGCAGCCAAGCAGACTGCCTGGTTCTTGGTCATGTTGGTGGAATGTAAACCAGTTGTCCAACCAATATTGATTATATGAGGTTTTCTATTACCAAAGGGTAATGGCAACAGAGTCATGAGTCCAATTATAAAGAAATAGACGCCGGGCACAGTGGCTCATACCTGTAATCCCAGCATTTTGGAGGCCGAGGTGGGCGGATCACTTGAGGTCAGGAGTTAGAGACCAGCCTGACCAACATGAAGAAACCCTGTCTCTACTAAAAATACAAAAATTAGCTGGGCACAATGGCAGGTGCCTGTAATCCCAGCTATTTGGGAAGCTAAGGGAGGTGAATCACTTGAATCCAGGAGGTGGAAGTTGCAGTGAGCGGAGATCACACCATTGCACTCCAGCCTGGGCAACAAGAGCGAAACTCCATCTCAAAAAAAGAAAAAGAAAAGAAATAGACAATATGACTGTGTCAGCCAGGGTTCTCCAGAGAAGCAGAACCAACAGGCTCTATTTATTAAGAGATGTCCTCTGAGGAAAGGGCTCATGTGATTGTAGGGACTGTGTGGTCTGAATCTGTGGGACAGGCCAGCAGGCTGGAAACTCAGGTAGGAGTTGATGCTGCAGGTTTTTTGTTTTGGTTTGGGTTTTTTTTTTTCTGGAGACTGGATCTTGGTCCTGTTGCCCAGGCTAGAGTGCAGTGGGCACAATCACAGCTCACTGCAGCCTTGACTTCCTGGCCTCAGGTGATTCTACCACCTCAGCCTCCTGAGTAGTTGGGTTACAGGTGAGGGCCACCATGCTTGGCTAATTTTTTTGTATTTTTCGTAGAGACGGACTTTCACCACATTGCCCAGGCTGGTCTCACACTTCTGAGCTCAAGTGACCATCCCTTCTCAGACTCCCAAAGTGCAGGGATTACAGGCATGAGCCAATGTGCCTGTCCTATTTGTTTTGGGTTTTTAATAGTGGTCTTGGTCCATCCAGGGTGTTATAACAAAATACTATAAACTGAGAGGCTTATAAACAATGGATATTTATTTCTTTCGGTTCTGGAGGCTGAGAAGTCCAAGGAGAAGGCAGACGTGGGGACGGCCCATGTTCTGGCTCATGGTGGCACCTTCTCACTGCATCTTCATATGGTAGGAGGGCCAATACACTTCCCTGGGTCTCTTTGATAAGACCACTAATCTGCTCCTGAGGGCTCCACCCTCATGATGTAATCACCCCCCCAAAGGCCCCACCTCATAAAACCATCCCCTTGAGGGTTAGAGTTTCAACAGATGAGTTTTGCAGGGCACACAAACATTCTGACCACACCAGTGATAAAATATACATCATGTAAAATTTAGTTTTCCTCATTATAAAATCTAATGTTTGGCGGCATTAAGAACCTTCACGTTGTTGTCAATCATCACCTGCTCCTTCTTTCCTTATCCCAAGTGGACTCTGAATTCGGGGTGGATTTGGCATCTTGGAGGACTGCCCAAGGTGATGCGGTTGCTTCCATTTGATTGTCCATCTTCAGAACTTTTTCATCTTCCCCAACCGAAACTCTGTACCCAATAAACAAGAGCTCCCTACTTTTCTCCCGCTGTCCTGGCCCATGGTGATCATGGATGCTGAAATCTAGAGGCAGTTTTTGCTCTTAAGTCCTCCCAACTCATTGCACCAGGCCCACTCACATTGTTAAGGATAATCTCCACTATTTCAAACTGATTGGTTGTAGCTGTGACCTACCTCCACCAAATACTTCAAAGCAACGCTCGATTCATGTGTGATGAAATAACTGGGAGCTGCAGCTGGCCAGGCTGACACAGAGAACGAACCACCCCAAAGACTTTGTTTCCCACATCCAAGTTGGTGATTCTTTTAAAATTCACACCTGATACAGAGGTATGTGTGTAATCACACATTCCAACCCTTTTAACTTGAATCCAAGGTGGAGGCACTTATACTGCCATCTGAGGGGAAGCCCCCCATAATATTGGCCATTAGATCTCTGACCCTCCCTTCCTGCTTCCGCTGGGCCTGTGTTTTCTCTCCACAGGCAAGAGAAAGAAGAAGCAGGCACTTTGGAACAGCCAGACCCACGTGCCCTTCCTTCTTCGCCAGAAGAAGGGCCAATGCTCTACACCTCTTGCCTTTTTTTTCTTTTTGAGACTGAGTTTTGCTCTTGTTGCCCAGGCTGGAGTGCAATAGTGCAATCTCAGCTCACTGCAACCTCCAAATCCCAGGTTCAAGTGATTCTCCTGCCTCAGCCTCCCGAGTAGCTGGGATTACAGGCACCTGTCACCATGGCCACTAATTTTGTATTTTTAGTAGAGATGAGTTTTCACCATGTTGGCCAGGCTGGTCTTGAACTCCTGACCTTAGGTGATCCATTCACCTTGGCCTCCCAAACTGCTGGGATTACAGGCATGAGCTGCCACACCCAGCCTACACCTCTCGCCTTTGATTCCTTCTCCTCATTTGAAAGATGGAGTTGCTTCCATTTGATCATCCTTAGTGTTTCCACCTCAGCTTACAAACAGCTGGTGACGTCTTCTAGCCTAACAAGGATGGTGCCCATCCTCCATCCCACCACCCTGCTCCGGCTCGCGTCACCTGCCGGCTTCTGCTTCCTTCTGCTGTTCAGTGGCTTGAAAGCAGCATCTGCCACTGCTGGGCTCTGCCTCCACCTCCCGTTCACTTCTCAGGCCCCATTGTGAGGGACTCAGGTTTGGGGGTGGCCTCTCATCTCTAAAGCCCATGGCTCCTTCTTGGCCCCCTCCTGCCTGACGTCCCTGTGATATCTAACGCTCCCCTCCTCGAGCCCTCTCTCCCCTGGGTTCCCTTCTGGCTCTGCGACCATTGTCACTTTCTCTTGCCCCCATTTCTTCTTTTCCCTTTCCTTGCCCCTTAAAGGTGGGTCTTCTCAGGGTGTCCCCTCTAGCCCTCTACAGTTCTGCTGTTTCTGCTCTCCATGGGTGGTCTCATGGTTCTGCTTGACCTACACACCGATTGCTCTCAGAGCTGTATCTCTAGACCCGGTCTCTCTCCTCTCCTGGACTCCTCTGCCTACCTAGCTCCCCAATGCCTGGTAATGCCGAGCTCCACCGGCAAGTCCCTCGGGAGCCTCAGAGTCACTCTGTAGTGAGACGTGCTGTCATTATCCTCCTTGTCCTAGGTTCCTGGGCCCAGGCATCAGTGTGCACCTGGTCGCTCACTTAGAAAGCATCTGGGCTTTCTCTCTTTCCCTTACACGCTCAACTAGTGACTCAGCAAGTTGGCTGATTCTTCCGCCTGAACAGCACCAGACCTTCCCCTGTCCCCCCCTCTGCTGGTGCCCAAGTCCAAGCTTTCCTGCCCCTCCTGTGATATTACGGCAGCCACCTGGCTGTTCTTCCTGCCTCCAGCCTTCCATAAAAGCATTTGTGATGATGTTTCTTCCGCAGTGAGACCTTTTTTTATCATAAAACAGAGAGTACTCTTTATTCTAAATTCTTTTTAACATAAATAATTACAATTTTATTGGAAATGTATCTTTTTTTTTCATGCTTAGAGGTTTGATGTCCCCTCACCATTGCCCAAAGGACCAAGTCCAAGCCCCTTAGCGTGACCTCCAAGGCCGTGGAATCCCCATGGCACCGTCCCTCTTGGGGCTCCTGTCATTAACTCAGGGCTTGCAATGATGGCTCTTGGCCTGTTTAAAAAAAAAAACCCAAAAAGTTAAAAAAATTGAGATATAATTTATATGTCATAGAATTCATACTTTTTTTTTAAAGACAGGGTCTTACTCTGCCGTCGAGGCTGGAGCACAGTGGTGCAATCATAGCTCACTACAGCCTCAACCTCAAGGGATCCTCCCACCCCAGCCTCCTAGGTAAGCTGGGACTACAGGCAAATGCTACAACACCCAGCTTTTTTTTTTTTTTTTTTTTGAGAGATGGGATTTTGCCATATTGCCCAGGCTGGTCTCAAACTCCTGGGCTCAAGTGATTCTCCTACCTTGGCTTCCCAAAGTGCTGGGATTATAAGCATGAGCCACCATGCCTGGTCCACACTTTTATTCTATTTTGTTACGCTTTTGAAGTGTGTAATTCAGTGGCTTTCAGTATATTCATGGAGCTGTGCAACTTTCATCACTATCAAATTGCAGATGGACTTTCATTACCCCACAAGGAAACACTGTACCCACTGGCAGCCACCCTCCTCATCCCCCAGCCATCCAGCCCAAGGCAAGCACTGACCCACTTTCTCACTCTGTAGATTTGCCTGCTGTGGACATTTCTCATAGATGGACTCATACAATTTGTGGTCTCTTGTGCTTGGTTTCTCTCACTCAGCAGAGTGTTTCCAAGATTCATCTGTATCATAGCATGTATCAGAACTTCATCTCTTTTTATGGCTGAATAATCTTCCGTCTTATGGATAGACCACATTGTGTTCATCCGTTCACTCATCAGCTGATGAACCTTTGGGTAGTTTCCACTTTTGGGCTCTTCTGAATATTCTGAACATTCAGGTACAGATTTTTGTGTGGACATATGTTTTCAATTCTCTTGGATGTATACATATCCCAAAGTGGAACTGCTGGGTACCACAGTAATATAACACTAGGTTTAACTTTTTGAGGAACTGCCAGACAGTTTTTCACAGTGGCTGCTCCATTTTCTACTCCCGCCAGCAGTGTATGAGGGTTCCAATTTTTCCACATCCTCGCCAACATTTATTATTATCTGCCTTTTTAATTATAGCCGTCCTAGAGGGTGTATCTCAGCTTGTTTTTATTTTTGTATGGCCTTTGAGCTAAGAATGGTTTTCCATTTTAAAAGGGTTTAAAAACACACACACACACACACACACACACACACACACACACACACACACACACCAAGAATATGTGGTAGAGTTCATAGGTGGCCCACAAAGTCTAAAATATTTACCATCTGGCCCTTTAAGTTAGGCCATCCCTGCTCTTCTCCACTCCAGAGGAAAAAAATCACTTTCCACTTTATGCTTTTCTCACCTGGTTCCTTTACTGCGAATGCCTGGCTTTCCCTTTTCTGCCTATTAGCTGCCTTCTCCTGAAGGCCCAGATGAGATCTCATTTCCTTGGGGAAAAGTTTCTTGGTTCCCTCTACATTCCCACGTGCATTTCCATTATTCGGGAATGTCCTCTTGTATTGGACCATAGCATTCATGTTGTTTATGTTTTTACCCCTAGAGTTCATCCGAGACAAAATGTTCTAGCTTTACCCCTACAGTCTATTGGGAACAGCAATTGGGTTGTTGTTTTTTGTTGTTTTTTTTCCATCTCCCTGCGCTAAGTCTTGTGCTGAGCACAGGACATGCTTGTTACATTAATGAAGACACAGAAGGATAAGACAGACTACTTGGAAAATTGTCTGTCTTTTCGAAAAGCTTAAGATATAGGGGCCAGGCATGGTGGCTCACGTCTGTGACCCCAGCACTTCAGGAGGCTGAGACAGGTGGATCACCTGACGTCAGGAGTTCGAGACCAGCCTGGCCAACATGGCAAAACTCTGTCTCTACTAAAAACACAAAAAATTAGCTGGGCATGGTGGCAGGCACCTGTAATCCCAGCTACTTGGGAGGCTGAGGCAGGAGGATCGCTTGAAACCGGGAGGTGGAGGTTGCAATAAGATAGAGGCACACAATTTACATCACAAGACTGCAGGAAGCGGCCAGGCGCGGTGGCTCATGCCTATAATCCCAGCACTTTGGGAGGCCAAGACGGGCGTATCACAAGGTCAAGAGATCGAGACCATCATAGCCAACATGGTGAAACCCCGTCTCTACTAAAAATACAAAAATTAGCTGGGCATGGTGGCTCGTGCCTGTAATCCCAGCTACTTGGGAGGCTGAGGCAGGAGAATCACTTGAACCAGGGAGGCAGAGGTTGCAGTGAGCCAAGATGACACCATTACACCCCAGCCTGGCAACAAAGCAAGACTCTGTCTCAAAAAAAAAAAAAAAAAAAAAAGAGTTATTATTCGAGCAGTGTTTATTGTTTTAATTTATCATCATTACTTATCATTATTATCGTTGTTTGAGCACCTACTTGTGCCCAACGCCGTGCCAGTCACCAGAGGCACAATTGTGAATGAGAAAGAAGTCATTGTGTAGAACTGAACAAGCTGCTTCAGCCTTAGCCACTTCTTTGATTCTTTTCCATTTGAAAATGTTTACTTTTGTCGTGGTATGAAACAACATGTGTACCTCATAGGGCATTTGAAATGTAATAGACACAAAGTTACATTAACATTTTGGATTACTGATACATACATATATACATATTATATATACCTAGTTGCTTTCCACAGAACTAATGCTAATCTATCTTCCTACTGACATATTACCTCTGCACAAACTCTGCATTTTCTTTGTTTTTTTCAAGAAAAAGCTGGAATAATTTTTCAATTCCTGGCCCATATCTATTACAGGTAACATGGAAATTGTCATTAGAGAAGATGATCACAGACGATTTCGCCTTTTCAGATCAGTGATAATTATTCAGTTGATTGATTTCTAAACATCTTTGAGATATAGTTCACAGGCCGTAACATTCACCATTTAAAACAGAAAACCCGGAGGTTTTTAGCATATTCACAGAGTTGTGCAAGTGTTACCACAGCAAGTTCAGATTTTCATCATCCCCAAGAGAAACTCCCGTGTCCCTTAACAGTCCCTCTCTATAACCTCACCCCCACCTACCACACTAGCTTTACTCAACCACTAATCTACTTTCTGCCTCTGTAGATTTGCATATCCTGGACATGTCATGTAAACGGAATAACACAATATGTAGTCTTTTGTGACCAATTTCACTCAGTGTAATGTTTCAGGGCTCACCCTTGTGATAGCAGGTATCCGCGCTGCATTTTCTTGTTGGGTGACATTGCATTGTTCAGATACGCTACGTTTTCTCTCTCTGTTCCTCAGTTCGTGGACATTTGGGTTGTTTCTACTTTTCGTCAGCCATCCCTATGATTGCCAGCGTCCATTCAACCACCCCAGCTGGCCACGCAGGCCCCCTCTTCCTGTAGCCTGGAGAGCTCCCTAGTGATGACGTTTGGGTGCTGTCGTTCCTAAAATGACAGCACGGCATGTGATGGCATGGAGCCTGTGGCAGTCATTAGAGTTCTTTTTTTTTTTTTTTTTTTTGAGACTGAGTTTCGCTCTTGTTACCCAGGCTGGAGTGCAATGGCGTGATCTCGGCTCACTGCAACCTCCGCCACCTCCTGGGTTCAGGCAATTCTCCTGCCTCAGCCTCCTGAGTAGCTGGGACTACAGCATGCACCACTATGCCCAGCTAATTTTTTGTATCTTTAGTAGAGATGGGGTTTCACCATGTTGACCAGGATGGTCTCGATCTATTGACCTCATGACCCACCCACCTCGGCCTCCCAAAGTGCTGGGATTACAGGCTTGAGTCACTGCACCTGGCCGTCATTAGAGTTCTTTAACAAATTGTCATGGCCTTTTTTTGTGGGGGGGGCAGGGTCCCTTGCTCTGTTGCCCAGGCTCAAGTACAGTGGCACAACTGTGGCTCAGTGCAGCCTGGAACTCCTGGGCTCCAGTGATTCTCTTGCTTCAGCCTACTGAGTAGAAAGGTAAGACTAGGCCGGGCACGGTGGCTCAAGCCTGTAATCCCAGCACTTTGGGAGGCTGAGGCAGGTGGATCACGAGAGATCGAGACCATCCTGGTCAACATGGTGAAACCCCGTCTCTACTAATACAAAAAATTAGCTGGGCATGGTGGCGCATGCCTGTGGTCCCGGCTACTCAGGAGGTTGAGGCAGGAGAATTGCCTGAACCCAGGAGGCGGAGGTTGCCGTGGGCTGAGATCGTACCATTGCACTCCAGCCTGGGTAACAAGGGCGAAACTCTGTCTCAAAAAAAAAAAGGTAAGGCTACAGGCATGTGCCACCCCATGTGGCTAATTTTTTTATTTTGTAGAGACGCGGTCTTGCTATGTTGCCCAGGCTGGTCTTGAACTCCTTGCCTCAAGCGATCTTCCTGCATCGGCCTCTCAAAGCCTGCTGGGGATTACAGGCATGAGCCACCGTGCCCAGCTGGGGTTCTTCTCCTCTAAGTTTTCATAGGATTGCACTCCCCGACTCCTTTTATGCTTGGGGTGGCCACTTGACTTACTTTGACCAATGCAATCTGAGTCCAAGTGATGTCTGTCACTTTGGGTAGAAGCTTGCTATGATTTGGCTCTGTGTCCCCACCCAAATCTCATCTGGAATTGTAAACCCCAAGTGTCAAGGGAGGGACCTGGCGGGAGGTGATTGGATGATGAGGGCGGGTTCCCCCGTGTTCTCATGACACTGAGGGAGTTCTCATGTCATCTGATGGTTTTACGATGGCGGTTCCCCTGCCCTTTCCTTCCTTCTGCCACCTTGTAAAGAAGGTGCCAGCTTCTCCTTCACCTTCCGCCATGACTGTAAGTTTCCCGAGGCCTCTCCAGCCATGCAGAACTGTGAGTCCATTAAACCTCTGTCCTTTATAAATTACCCAGTCTGGGCAATGTTTTAATAGCAGAGTGAGAACAGACTAACACAAAGCTCTAAGAGCCGAAGTGCTTTTTGTCCTGTTTTCTTCCCTGTGCCGCAGTGGCTGTGGTAATGTATGGCAGATCGAGCCTCCCTCTGCCTGGATGACTCTGCCAACGAGAACCTTCTGGATCATATTGAACAGACCCTATAGAGCTTGGAGGCTGTGAGGGCCCATGCCTGATCTAGCCTGTCTGACCGACAGTTCTATGGGAGTTCACTCAGGACAGGATCTGGAGTGACTGCTGCAGGGGGCGGGGTTGACCCAGCACCTGAGGATGAGGGGATGGGTAGACAGAGGGTGGAGGAAGGGAGGGGGCCAGGAACAACCAGAGGCGGGTACCTGCCACCCCCTGGAAAGCTTTAACTGAGATGGCTACTTGCAAAGATGACATTCCCACTCGGTTTTACTTCCAGGAGTAAAACTGCTTCGAGTGACCATTTCTCAGTCTCTCTCTCCAGGGAGATATTCCATTGTTGAGCACTTTATTATAGTTCTTGGGTGAATTTGGATTTCTCATTCTGTGTTTAATGCTTCTTTGAAATGAATCCAGCGGTAAAATATCCCTGCTCTTTCTGGATCACACGATTGTCCAATTCTGGTGCACAAGAAGAAAGGACAGCTGGTGTGTTTCTAGCACAACTCCAGTGCAGCAATGGCCAAGGCCTCTCAGAGTGAATTATGTTCTTGTCCAAGGGGCTACCTTTGAGATGGGGGTGACGGTGTCACCCTGTCTGTCTTATACATGACCAAGTGCTCACCTATGAAGCTGGACTAGAGATTGAAAAGCACTCCACACCTGGGCATGGTGGCTCGCGACTGTAATCCCAGCACTTTGGGAGGCTGAGGTGGGTGGATTACTTGAGTCGAGACAAGTAGTTCGAGACAAGCCTGGGAAACATGGTGAAACCCCATCTCTATTGAAGTCATTATTTGTACATATAAAATAAAAGAGCACTCCACATCCCTTTATTGCTGGAGATCACACTGTTTTCTGCAACTTTCATTAATCTCATTCTTTAGAAATAATGACACGGATTATTTTGGTACCAGTATGGGTTAATTTACCAGAATGGTTTCAGCATTAAGCTGTGGACTGAATTTCAGGAAAATACTGTAATTAGCATTGCTTATTGCTTTTTACTTGAAGGTAAAAGATAAATCAGAGAAACAATATCCCAGTAAGGGCCCCCTGCAGGCGGTCCATCCCGACCAAGACAGAGGGAGCGGAGGAACAATGGCCACACTTGACTCTGAAGTGACTACATCACCTTCTTCTGGGCCAAGAAGCCCAGGTGCAGATGTTTTCTCTGCGGGGAGTGTGCTGAGCTGGGTTTTATGGGCTGCAAACTCCTATCAGAAGTTGATAAAGTTCTGGGCCATTAGTTCTTTGCTGATTGGAAAAGTATTTCATAAGCCCAGAGTTGAAACACCTAGAGATGAATCATTCACATGGGCCAGTTCCTCTAAAAAGGGAAAAAGTCTCTGCTGGTGTAAACACACACATGTACCCACAAATGCACACACAAATCTTAAACTTTATCAGAGTCTCAAGTAAGTGACGGAATTGGCCATGTGTGTGGCTCACACCTGTAATCTCAGCACTTTGGGAGGCCGAGGTGTGCGGATTACCTAAGGTCAGGTGTTCAAGACCAGTCTGACCAACATGGTGAAACACTGTCTCTACTAAAAATACAAAAATAAAAATTAGCTAATGTGGGGGCGGGCACCTGTAGTCCCAGCTACTCGGGAGGCTGAGGAAGGAGAATCGCTTGAACCCGGGAGGCAGAGGCTGCACTGAGTCCCAACAGTACCACTGTACCCTAGCCTGGGACTGGAGTTTCCTACCAGAGGCTCATCATCCAGGCCTCTGTTATTTTTTCTTTTGAGGCCCAGTTTTCTAAAAAAAAAAAAAAATGAAACTTATAGCTCTTAAAAATGGGTAGGATGTGGCACTCTTCATGGATTTAATCTAATTATCATGTGAGGTGAGTCAATGGTCATGAATTGTACAGGGTAAAGATACAGTGAGACTATCTAAAAAAAGTGACGGAATCGGATAGATAACATGGTGTCACATGCAGCCAGTGCCTGCCATGTGGAGACCCGTACATGTGAGCATCCCCAGCCTGGTGGCTCAACCATCTCCCGCAACCCCAACCACAACTTCCTCTGTGGCGCCATTCACCTCCTGTCCTTTCAGAAGGCCGCTCACAAGACACGCTCCCTTCCCGTGGTGACTGGTGACCTTATTCATGAAGCAATGACTAAGGACTGGTTTCTCAGAGACAAGCTATGCCGAGAATGTCTGAGGGCACCCCAATACCTTGGAGTTGCTGGACTTCTGAATGTTTTCTAAATCATCTTTCACAGCCGTCCATCCTCTGCCACATGGATTCCAGGCTCAGTCGTGAGAGAGTGGTTCAATTAGCCATGGCATTTTCCACCAGAGGGTCAACATCTGGGCCTCTGTTATTTTTTCTTTTGTGGCCCCGTTTTCACAAAAACGAATAAAATTTACAGCTCTCAAAAATATCTCAGGTGTGCCCGGTGCAGTGGCTCATGCCTGTAATCCCAGCACTTCGGGAGGCGGAGGCGGGAGGATCATGAGATCAGGAGATCGAGACCATCCTGGCTAACATGGTGAAACCCTATCTCTACTAAAAATGCAAAAAAATTAGCCAGGTGTGCTGGCACACGCCTGTAATCCCAGCTATTCAGGAGGCTGAGGCAGGAGAATCGCTTGAACCCAGGAGGTGGAGGTTGCAGTGAGCCGAGATCGTGCCACTGCACTCCAGCCTGGGAGACAGATCAAGACTCTGTCTCAAACAATAACAACAACAAAACCCTAGGATGCAGCACTCTTCACGGATTTAATCAATTATGTGAGATGAGTCAATCAATGGTCACGTATTGTTTGGGTAGAGTAAACGAGGCACAATGAGACCACTGGCGACGGGTCAGAGGGGCTCCCTGGCTTCACCGTCCACTGCCCTGGGGGGTCCGCACTTCCCCCCAGCGCCGTGGCTGAGCGGTGCTGCCCTCAAAGGCCTGCTGTCATGGACTTTCCCCTGACCCTGAAATTTCCCCGTTTATCTGAGCTAGGGACAGCTTCCTAGAGGCTACAATACGGCAGTGGAACCCTGTGATGAAGTGTCATAAACAGTTTATACAAATTCTGCCAACAAGTTTAGCTTCAACAGCGAGTCTTAAAATGGATAAGAGAAAGAGAGAGGGAAGGAAAAAGGAGAGGGGAGACAGAGGGAGACGAAGAAAAAGAAAAAGAGAGATTTTCTGGCATTCATCCTGAGCATGTCAGCGGCAAACTGGTTTAGGCCAGTGAGACAGGACGTTCTGCAGAGCAAAGATCATGTGACCACGCGGTGTGAACAAACAGATGGTGTATCATTAACAAACTGCAGGGCTGCCTTTCCTCGTCTCCCAGGGTATCAGTGATCCAGGCGATTTAATTAAAAACATTTTTAAAAAGTGACAAGGGCCAAAGTTTTATCCTGTTTAAATTCAACCTCATCAACAAAGTTAGAGAGGGAGGCTGTTCCCTTCCTTGAAACATCCACATCTAAGCCCCTGGGGGAAGAGGCACCAACGTGTGAGTCAGTGGCACTATCAGGCCTCTGGTCACTGGGCATTGATCCAGAAATACGGCCAGGGCAGGGGCAGCTCCAGGACAGAGACCAGCTTCCCCTCCCGTCGCCTCCTGGGGACACAGGACAGGCAAGCTGTAGGAGGAGCGTAGGAGGTTTTCTGGACCAGGCTGTGTGCACAGTTAGTCCTGAGTACAAACAAGCAGGTGGCCAGTCTCACCTTTGTTCTAAGAAGCGGGATCCAGGCAGGCCAGGAGGAAGCCTAGAGTAGCTGTTAGGAGACGCTGGGGCCCAGCCAGGGCTTCCACCCCTGCAGGAGTGGGGCAGGGGCTTGGGCACTCTCGGACACTCAGCACTGTTCTTACTTAAAGCTCTCCAGCAAAGGCAGCATAAAGTGATGGTCCGGGGCGGACAGTTGGGACTCAGGAAGCTTCTTCCCAAATATCCCTGCCCCGCTGTCCACCAGCGGCAGACACTGTGCTGAAGTTAGTCTGTGCACGGTCGCCTGTAGAACTGTGACAACATGGGAAGGGCAGGTGAAGGCCCCAGGACACTGCCTGGCCATTGAGAGTGCTCTGTCTTGCAGGACGGCATGGGGCTATCCAAAATTGAGCTTGCTCTTTCTTTCCTTCCTTCCTTCCTTCCTTCCTTCCTTCCTTCCTTCCTTCCTTCCTTCCTTCCTTCCCTCCTTCCTTCCCCCCTCCCTCCCTCCCTCCCTCCTTCCTTCCCCCCTTCCTCCCTCCCTCCCTCCCTCCCTCCTTCCCTCCTTCCCTCCTTCCCTCCTTCCCTCCTTCCCTCCTTCCCTCCTTCCCTCCTTCCCTCCTTCCCTCCTTCCCTCCTTCCCTCCTTCCTTCCTTCCTTCCTTCCTTCCTTCCTTCCTTCCTTCCTACCTTCCTTCCTTCCTTCCTTCTTTTTCTTCTTTTGAATTGGAGTCTTGCTCTGTAGCCCAGGCTGGAGTGCAGTGGCACGATCTCAGCTCACTTGCAACCTCCACCTCCCGGGTTCAGGTGATTCTTCTGCTTCAGCCTCCCGAGTAGCTGGGATTACAGGTATGTGCCACTATGCCTGGCAATTTTTTTTATTTTTATTTTTAGTAGAGATGGGGTTTCACCATCTTGATCAGGCTGGTCTCAAACTCCTTGACCTTGTGATCCATCCACCTTGGCCTCCCAAAGTGCTGGGATTACAGGCGTGAGCCACTGTGCCCGGCTATGCCCAGCTGATTTTTATATTTTGAATAGAGGTGGAGTTTCACCATGTTGGCCAGGCTGGTCTCAAACTCTTGACCTCAGGTGATCCACCTGTCTGAGCATCCCAAAATGTTAGGATTACTGGCATGAGCCACTGCGCCCAGCCGAGATCTATATTTTTAAAGACTCCTGCGGTGGTGGCATGGAGGCCTAGGAACTTGCTTGAGGCTGCTAGCCATGGCAGGTGAAGAGGGCGAGAAAGCCGCAGGAGAAGCCCTGGAGAGGTGGAAGAGCTGGGAATCAATGGCTCGGGGATCTGTAAAGAAGGATAGTTAGATTTTTAGAAATTTATAGAAGACTAGGCACAGTGACTCACACCTCTAATCCCAGCACTTTGGGAGGCTGAGGCAGAGGGGTTACTTGAGCCCGGGAGTTTGAGACCAGCCTGGGCAACACAGGGAGACCCAGTCTCTGTAAACAACAATTTAAAAATTTTAAAAGAAATTTATATAATCTTGGGCTTCCCGGCAGGTAAACAAAAGAATCCTAATTAATCTCAAGCACAGATCATAAGAATTTGGAGAAATTGTTTGCCCTCCAACAACTATAGAGATTAGTAGCTTCTAGATTACAACAACTCTAAATAAAATGTAACTTACATCAAACTTGATTTTGCACAGTGACACGCCTAACAGAAGCACAAGTCTGACCTCGAAGGCTTTGAAGAGAAAGACAGGCAGCTCACTCAGTGTATCACACGCCGTGAATCGTTCTCAAATATCTTTATCCCTCTCTCCTCTCAACATTTGTTCATCATGTGCTGATATTTACTGAGCACCCAATACATGCTCTGCTCTGGATGCCGGAGCAGCAAACAAGACCCTTTCAGTTCCTGCTCACTACATTCTAGAGAGGAAGGACAGCCAGGCAAACAAAGAGCTAGATCTTGTTGGGCGCAGTTACTTTAGAGGAAAGGCAGAGGTATTTCTCCATTGCTCAAAGTATGATCTGAATGACAGAAGAATCCAGTCACACAAAGATGGGGGATGGAGGGAGCCCTGTAGACAGAAGGAACAGCTTGTGCAAAGGGCTTGAGGTGGTCATGAAATGTTTCTGGAGAGAAAGTCAATGTATCGGGAGTAGGGAGGCAAGAGGCAGGTGTCGGGAGGTCTGCAGGAGCCAGATTACAATAAAAGGCCTGTTGACAACCTAGTGTGGAATCACCGTGGCCCCCACAGACGATGCAGCATTAGGGATCTATGCAACCACCATTCTGTTTTCTGTCTCCATAAATTCGTTTTGCCTGTTTTAGAAATCCATGTACATGGAATCACACAATATGTACTCTTTTGTGTCTAGTTTTTCACCATAATGTTTTGGGGATTCATCCACGTTATTGAGAATGCCAACAGTTCTTTCTTTCTATTGCGGAGTGGTAGTTATCGTACACTTAATTTACTTGTTTATTTATTGATGAGTATGTAGGTGGTTCACAGGTTGAAGTTGTTTTTTTTTTTTTTTTTCTTTTTTTTTGAGACAGGGTCTTGCTCTGTCACCCAGGCTGGAGTGCAGTGGTGTGATCAGGCTGGAGTGCAGTGGCGTGATCAGGCTGGAGTGCAGTGGCGTGATCAGGCTGGAGTGCAGTGGTGTGATCAGGCTGGAGTGCAGTGGCATGATCAGGCTGGAGTGCAGTGGTGTGATCATGGCTCACCCAGGCTGGAGTGCAGTAGTGTGATCATGGCTCACCCAGGCTGGAGTGCAGTGGCATGATCAGGCTGGAGTGCAGTGGTGTGATCAGGCTGGAGTGCAGTGGCATGATCAGGCTGGAGTGCAGTGGTGTGATCATGTCTCACCCAGGCTAGAGTGCAGTGGTGTGATCATGTCTCATCCAGGCTGGAGTGCAGTGGTGTGATCATGGCTCACCCAGGCTGGAGTGCAGTGGTGTGATCAGGCTGGAGTGCAGTGGTGTGATCATGGCTCACCCAGGCTGGAGTGCAGTGGTATGATCAGGCTGGAGTGCAGTGGCATGATCAGGCTGGAGTGCAGTGGTGTGATCATGGCTCACCCAGGCTGGAGTGCAGTGGTGTGATCATGGCTCACCGAGGCTGGAGTGCAGTGGTGTGATGGTGGCTCACTGCATGCTACAGCCCTGACCTCTCTGGCTCAAGCAATCCTCGCAAAGTTCTAGGATTACAGGTGTGTGCCACCACACCTGGTCTCAAGACTTTTACGGACCATATTATGGTGAATATCCCTTTTGTGATCATTATTTTAAAAATAAGTGTATAAAGAAAGTTTTTTCTCAAATGCATTCTTGTTTATTACTTAGTTTTGCTTGCTTTTGAGCCCTGTGGAAATGGCATCATGTTGGCGTATTCTAGGACTTTTTCCCCCCGGCTTTGCATTTTGTTTCCAGGTTCCACCTATGTTATTACATGGCAACTGAGGTTTTCATGTGGCCCTTACAGGCAGCCATCTTTCTGAACTATCATTCTGTTTTAAATAATATATCTATACATTCTTTCGGTTTTATATAAAGTCATATCATCTACAAATAACAACTGTCTTGTTTCTTCCTTTCTAATCTTTATGTTTTGAATTTATTTTTCTTGTTATAGTCAGTGTATTTTGGGAACAGCAGCTATATAGTAGCATTCTTGTCTTGCATCTTAATCTTAAAGGGAAAATTCAGATGTTTTAAAATTTACGTTGTTGGCTGGGTGCAGTGGCTTATACCTGTAATCCCAGCACTTTGGGAGGCTGAGGCAAACAGATTACCTGAGGTCAGGAGTTCGAGACCAGCCTGGCCAACATGGTGAAACCCCATCTCTACTTAAAATACAAAATTAGCTGATCATGGTGGCTCACGCCTGTAGTCCCAGCTACTCAGGAGGCTGAGACAAGAGAATCTCTTGAATCCGGTAGGTGAAGGTTGCAGAAAGCCAAGATAGTGCCTCTGTACTCTAGTCTGGGTAAAAGGAGTGAAACTCTGTCTCAAAAAAGAAATAATAAATAAATTTAATTTAATTTATGATGTTGTTTGTATATATTCTCTTTATCAGTTTAAAGTTTTCTTTTAGTCTACTAAAGTTTTTTGTGGGTTTATTAATTAAAATGAGTAGGAAATTTTATCAACACCCTTTTCTGCATCTATTGAGATGACTAAATCTGTTGATTTATTGAATGTACTGAACTCTCTGTTGCTGTGGTGAATGACTGCCCAGAGTTACTTAAATTAGAGCTTAAGGGCAGGCACAGTCCTCCAGGCTACCAAGTCAGCCCAAGACTTTTGACATCATCAGTTCAGGGGTCCTCAGAGCCATTCTCAGACCAATGATGTACAAATTCTGGAGTCTGAACTCCCTCAGGGTTCAGATAAGAACTCAGGACTCAGACTAGAAGGGTGCATAGAACTCAGGAAAATGCTGTACTTACTATTACAGTGTTCGTATAGCAAAATGATAGAAACAGAACCAGCCCACAGAAGAGACAGGTGCAAAGGGAAGAATTGGAATTGGGAGGTTTTCAAACAGAAAGCTTTTGTGTTCTCAGGGATGCAATCCTCTCTTTGCATCAGTGTGTGACACACATGCAGGGCATTGCCAACCCAGGACACCCATCTAAACTTTGGTGTCCAGCATTTTGATTGAGGCTTCATTATATAGGCATGAATGATTGAGCTGCTGCCCATGTGGCTGATCTCAATCTCCAACAGTGTGCACACCCCCTCTCTCCCTGCCAAGATCTGGCTGACTTCACTGGCCCAGAGCGCTAACCCTCTAATCACATGGTTGGTCTTTCTGGCATGGTCAGCCTCCCCTCTGAATGACTTCATTAGCATAAACTATACGGTGTGGTCCAAACAGTCCACTGTGAGTCACCCCATTAGCATAAACTAGCAAGTGTGGCCAAGGAAGCCCACCATGAGTAACAAAGGCCCTCCTATTACTCAGGAAATTTCAAGGGTTTAGAGATTAACTCCCAGGTGGTGAGACAAAGACCAGATCTGTCTTTGAGTAAAGTTAATTCTTCATGACATACACAGATTTTATGATATCAATCCATCCTTGCATTCCAGGAATAATATGACATTATCTTTTTAAAACATGGATAGATCTATTTTGCTAACAGTTAAAAAGACTTTGCACCTATGTTTGTGAATGAGCTTGGCTTATGATTTTTCTCTTACTGATCTTGTCTAGTTTTAAAATTAAAATTATACTGAGCTCATAGAATGCGTTGGAGAGTGTTCTCTTTCTTTCTGTGTACTGGAAGAATTTTTGTTAGATTGGAATATTTGTCTCATGAAAGTTTTGAGCAATTCACCTGTAAAACTCTCAGAGCCTGTGTTTTGTTGTGGCAAGATTTTTAATACTATTTCAATTTCTTTAATAATTGTAGGACTATCCAACTTTCTATTTCTTCTCGAGTCAGCATAATTATATTCTTCTAGAAATTTGTGTATTTTATCTAATTTTCAAATATATCATCGTAAAACTGTTTATTCTCTTATTTTTAAAATCTCTGCTGTATTTGTAGTTAAATACCTTCTGCTGGGTTTGTAGTTAAATATTTGTGTCTTTTCTTTTTTCTTGATCAATATAGCCCCAGAGATAGGTCTATTTTATTAGACTTTTCAAAGGGCCAGCGTATAGCTTTCTTGATTCTATCTACTGTATGATATTATTCCCCCTGTTAATCACCTGCTCTTTTTTTATTACCTTCTCCTTTTCCTTTCTTTGGATTTATGTTTTCCCCCTGTACCTTTGTTAGTTGAAGTTAGCTTGTTACTTTTCAAACTGTATTATTTTCAAATATATGTATTTAAAACTATGCATTTCCCTCTGAGTGCAGCTTTCACTATGCTAGTTCTAAATACTATTTTTTAAATTCTTGTTTTGAGTATTTACAAATTTTTATTATTTGAGCCATGAATTATTTAGAATTCTGTTTTTAAATTTCAATACACAAGAACTTTATGGGGCCAGGCACAATGGCTTACACCTGTAATCCCAGCGCTTTGGGAGGCCAAGGCGGGTGGATCATGAGGTCCGGAGTTTAAGACCAGCCTGGCCAACATGGTGAAACCTCATCTTTACTAAAATACAAAAATTAGCTGGGTGTGGTAGAGGATGCCTGTAATCCTAGCTACTTGGGAGGCTGAGGCAGGAGAATTGCTTGAACCGGAGATTTGGAGGTTGCAGCAAGCCAAGATTACACCACTGCACTCCCGCCTGGGCACAGAGCGAGACTCCATCTCAAGAAAAGAAAAAGAACTTCATGATTTATCTTTTTGCTATTGACTTCGACTTGATCACATTTTGTTTGAAGAACATGACGGTTGTGATACTAATTTTTGAAATTTGTTGAGATATACCTTCTGACCTCAGATCTGATTAATTTTTGTAACCATTTTATGTGTTCTTAAAAAGTATGGGGACTCTCTAATGATTGCTTTTAGGGTTTTATATATGTTTATTACATCAAAATTGTTAAATTGTTCAAATATGTTTATTGATTTTTTTTTTTTTTTTTTTGAGATGCAGTCTTGCTCTGTCACCCAGGCTGGAGTGCAATGGTGCGATCTGAGCTCACTGTAACCTCTGCCTCTCCAAGCAATTCTCCTGCTTCAGGCTCCTGAGAAGCTGGGATTACAAACACCTGCCACCATGCCCAGCTAATTTTTTTGTATTTTTAGTGGAGATGGGGTTTCACCATATTGGCCAGGCTGGTCTCAAACTCCTGACCTCAGGTGATCTGCCTGCCTTGGCCTCCCAAAGTGCTGGTATTACAGGTGTGAGCCACCATGACTGGCCTTTATTACTTTTAATGTATATGGTATGAGACATTTTTATCAGATGCACATACATTTAGAATTATTATATCTTCTTGATAACATGAAAATTTCATTTTTATATAGGAATCTTTTCTGTCTTAGAGTCCTTGTGTGTGTGTCATACTGATGTAGTTATGCCAGTTCTCTTTTGTTTAATTTTTTTTTTTTGG